CCGCGCGCACGGGAGGGAAGACGAGGGAGGAGGCTGACTGGGCGCGACTTGACCCAATCAAGCGGGCCCGGGACTGAGGTGGCGTCCACGTGGAAGTCACGTCGGATGGGGAGGCAGAGGAGGCCGGGCAGGTTGATCCGACGGCTCACGGCGTGCGGCGGGATCCGGCGAACGGCGGCGAGCCGGAAGGGGCAGCTAGCACTGGCGGCAGGAGGAGGAGAAGGGGAACTCATTCCACGGCTCGGATCAGGAAGAGGACGCGCGACGACGGCCGGCGGCGGCGGCCAATCTCGCCGGCATGCCGACGTGGCCGCGCGCGAGGAGAGCGAAGGGTGCGCGGGCTCGGGTTTAGCCGAACCGGTATGGTGTTGCGACGCGCACGCGGTGACGCGGGACCCGATGGTCACCGGCGGCGCACGCACGGCGGCGTTATGCAGCGGCGGAAGCGGCGACACGGCGCGGAGACAAAGGAGAAGGCCGACGGCCTTGGGGCAGCCAGGGGGAGGTCAAAGGGATCCCCGGGGGCGTGGCGGCGAGAGGAATCGACGCGAGAGAAGCCGACGATGGCGGATTGCGGCGGCGGCAATCACCGGAGAGCAAAAAAGGGGAAAACACGACGAGACGACGAGGGTTCGATTCAAAGGGATGGGAGCATCTCCGGGGTTCAAGGAATCCATTCCCGGCGTCGGATTGGACGGAGCGGCACCGAGGTTGGCTGGCGACGAGAGACGGCCTCCGGGACAGAGCATGGCGGCCGGCGAGCTAGCGCGCGGTGCAAGGGCGACGAGCGGCGGTTCGGCGGCGAGACCTGGGGCAGTGTCCATGCGTGTTCGGGGGGCTAGCCGAGCTACCACGCGAGCTAGGGAGGGAGAGGACGAGCAAGAAGGGAGAACGGAGGGTGGCATTACCAAGCCGAGACGGGCGCAGTGACGAGCGGCCGACGGCTCGGGAGCGAGCTCTCCGGCCTCGGGCCGAGGAAGGGGAGGAAGGAGGGTGCCCGGAGTCCCGCGTCACGCGTCCTCGCACGCACCGGTCTCCCGGTGCTCTGCGGCGGACGGCGACGGCGAGAGCAGAGGAAGGGCGACAATGGCGCAGTGGAGTAGGAGTGTGAAGTGGGAGGGATTGAGATGGAATGGGGAGCTCGGCTTCGGGTTTTATAGGCGCGGGGTGAGGCGATGTCGGTTTGGGGGGAGAACCGACCTTGGCGGTCAAGCGCTCGGCTTGCGGCAGCGGCGGTTTCGTGGGCGATGCGAAAGCGGCGACGGCGTGGATGCTCTGGGCGGCGAAGGCGGTGGATCGGACGGCCGATTTCGAACCACGGGAGCGCAGGGCTGGCGCGGTCAAGGTGGGAGCGGTGAGCTGGCATGGTCGCGGTGGTGGCGTGGGCGCGACAGGGCGCAAAGGTGGCGTCAGCGGCGCCCTGTGTACGCTCCCGCACCAGGACAAGGGAGAGAGCGAGACGGCCTTGCCCGCAAGGGAAAAGCGAAAGGAGGAGGAGGAAAGGGAGCCTTGCTCCTTCCGTTTTTGGGCGGCGAGGCTGGAGAGGCGCGTGGGATTGGCGTCGCCACGTTGGCGGCTTGTGGCATGCGGAGGCGGGGCCATGGTGACGCAGCGGATGACAGCGAAAAGGGAGGAGGGCTGGTTTGGCGGCGAGCGCGGACCAAGGCGGTCGACGCGGCAGGGGCGACGGTGGCGCGGCCACAGCGGTCGGCCATGAGCGGCGCCGCGCGCGGGAGCATCGGCGTGGCGCGGTCAAGGTGGGGCACAGGCGCGGCAGGACGTTGTCGGCGTCCTCTGCCTCCGCGCACAAGAAGACAAGGGCGAGAGGAGAGAGGCCGGGTTTAGAAGGGAAAAGTGAGGGAGGACGGTGGAAAGGGAAGCCTCTCCCTTCCGTTTTGGGCGGCGGGCAGGCGAGGCGCGCGCGGGAAGGGCGGCCGGCGAATTCAAACGGCGGCGGCGGGAATCGGCGCCGAGGTGAGGAGAAAGCAGAGAGGGCGAGAGAGGGAGAGGGCGGCGCTCTCTCTTGGCTCGGGCACGACGCGCGTGCTCAGCACGTGGGAAGGGAAGGGGGAGGAGCGGCTGAGAGGAGATGGGCCGAGGAGAAAACGGCCCACAAAAATCTGAGGGAGGCAAAATAGACTTTTTCGGAGGAGATTGATTTGGAGAGAAATGGAGAGATTTAGGGTTTGGATTCGAATTCAAATTTGATATTCAAACTCGAGGGTTTAGGAATGAATCAAGGGAGACTCAAGGAAATGATTCGAGATGGGGATTTGATATTTTCGGAAATGGGGATAGGTATTTGGCGGGGATTCAAGGGATGTGATTGAATTTCGGAGACTTGAGTCGGATTTGGAATCTTGAGGTGGACGATTTTGATGGCGATGAGAGGGAACAACGGGATTTGAATTGAGGTCCTTGGCACAACCTAGACTCGCACACAAAGAACGAAAATTTTCGCAATTACGATTTTGCCGAAATAGTTTTTAACGACTCACGAAAAGCGGAGCGTTACATCTTAATGCCTGAAATGCCCTTTGACTAATTGACTAAAACCTAGCCCAAATTTCACGAATCCTCACCGCCGGCGACCAGGTGCCGCCCTCCCCGTCATCCGGCCACCACGACTCCACCGCCGGCGTCCTGGCTCCGCCCCCCACCATGCCTCCATCGCCGGCATCTTGGCGCCGTCGCCCGCAGCGCCGCCGCCCTTCCCTTCGTCCGCCCACCAGGCCTCCACCGCGGACATCCTGACCCCGTCGCCCGCCGCACCGCCGTCCTCCCCGTCGTTCACCACCACGCCACCACCGCGGATGTCCTGGCGCCGTCGCTTGCTGTGCCGCCGTCCTCCCCATCGTCCGCCCACCACGCCTCCACCGCCGGCGTCCTGGCGCCGTTGCCCGCCGCGCCGCCGCCCTCCCCGTCCTCCGCTCACAATGCCTCCATCATCGGTGTCCTGGCGTCATCGCCCACAGCGCTGCCACCCTCTCCGTCATCCACAGCGCCGCCGCCCTACCCGTCGCCCGCAGCGCTGGCGCCCTCCCCGTCCTCTGCCCACCACGCCTTCACCGTCGGCGTACTGGCGCCGTCGCCTGCAGCGCCGCCGCCCTTCCCATGCTCTGCCAACCACACCTCCACCGCCGGCGTCCTGGCTTCGTTGCCTGCAGCACCGCCGCCTCGTCCAACCGCCCACCGCCCCTCCACTGCCGGTGTCCTAGCGCTTCCGTCCCCATCACCATCGTCCCCGGCGCCGCTGCAACCGCCGTCCCCAGCGTTGCTGCAACCGGTCGCCCACCGCCGGCAAGGAGCTGGCCCTCCTTGATGACAACAAGGAGGTAGCCATGCCTGTAGAATGGGCTAGGGGCAAATAGGTCTTTTTAGAGCTCTAACAGAGGTTAACTAGACGGTGATGGCACATTTTAGAGGTTAAACAAAACACGGTGGTACATTATAGAACTTTACAATATCAGTGGTAGATTGTAGAAGGGTGACAAACTCAGTGGTACTGAGTGGATTCTCTCTATATACTATCTAAAACACTCTATATATGACCAAAAGTTCCCCCATACACCCCTGCAAGGAATGAGTCATGCATGTTTAATTAGCACCTATATTTGACTTACCTCCTTGTTTCACACGAAAAAGGGTTGACATGAAAGTATGATGCTTTGGGCCATGCAAGAAGGCTGACATGCCAACAATTTGATGATCTTATAATGACAAATAGTTCATGTTAATTATGTAGTCTCTTCATCGATCGTGCTTATTAGTCATAGCCAAATTTTGAATTTTAAAACTTAATTATAGAGTTAATTTTAAAGTTATTTCATCTTAATCTGTTTTTCAGCAATGGGTTTTAAACCACTAATAATAACACAGATATAGAATTTATATTCATAAAATTAGTTTTGGCGTATTTGTTCATTATATTTTTTTTCATAGCTTGTGATCTGCCGCAGCTCAAACAATTTGCAATGGATTTAATTTGCCCTCATTTTTTTTATATGAATGCTTTGTGTAATCGCTATACCTCTAATTTGACATCAACAAGTAGTAATGTAATTTGGTTAAGGCTATGGTTTTGTGAAACATTATATGGCATAAAACGTGTGGTATTACATTATTATTGGTGTTAGCATGCATTATATTTTGTTTGCACAGTTATAATTATAAAACAGAAAATTAGTTAATTGATCTCTCTTGTCACAAAAAACAGAATTACGTGTACATGTGTCTGTATATTTATGGCCGATGGATATATAGAAAATGAGAAAAAAAAATAATGCCTATGCATATGTAAATGTGGTGGTGGTTTGGTGTATTAATTGAAAAAGCAATGTGTGATAGAAATGAATGACATATCAATTCAATATATAGTACTACTAGGAAATAGTAGCTACTCCATATATAGTAGTTGTAGATTGCATATATAATTCTGAGATTTTATAAGCTATATACTCCCTCCGTCCTAAAAAAAGACAAACCCTGGTTTCCGTGACCAACGTTTGACCGTTCGTCTTATTTGAAAAAATTATGAAAAAAATTAAAAAGACAAGTCGCGCATAAAATATTAATCATGTTTTATCATCTAACAACAATGAAAATACGAATTATAAAAAAAATTTCATATAAGACGAAGTTGGGCACGTAAACCTATAGTTTACCATTTTTTAGGACGGAGGAAGTATGACGCAATTTACAGTGTGGAGGTGAGAAAATAAAATGGATCGATCTATCAAATCCATCTGATATCAAATTAAAGCTAGTAGTACGCTGCTACACCAGCTAGTAGAGAAGCAGAAACAGTATATTTCATGTAGTAGCTCGTGACACCTTCTTTAAATCCGGCACGTACGGATCGAACTAGCTAGGGGAATAATAAGGGTGAAAAACAGATTAGAAAGATGAAAAATATCATGAGGTAATTTAGTAATAAATTAGGGAATTAATAAGCTAGTACAGTAGTAGGGAAGAAGGAGGAGGGCGGGATGGTGGCGTACGAGGGAGCGGAGGCGAAGTGGAAGAAGCGGCCGCGCGGGGAGAAGACGAGCAGCGCCACCTCCGCGTCGCACAGCACCGACAGCTCCGACGCCTTCTTCAGAAGCCCCTTCCGCCGCTTCGAGAACGTCACCTGCCGCCTCGTCGTGTCCTCGATCCGCCGCATCTCTCGCCGCCCGCCGCGCCGCCTCTGCTGCCCTCCCGCCGCCGCCATAAGCAGTACGTGCGTGCAGGGTATGCGAGAGATCTACTCCGGCTCGCCGGCCGGGAACAGATCGATCTATGTCGCTGCTGGCTGCAGAGGAGAGGAGACGTACGGATCGGATAGGGAAGTAGAAGAAGAAAGCGGCGGCGATTGAAAGAATGAATGATTTGGGGGGCCTTGAATTGGGTTACCTGATTTTCCTCGCAAAGGAAAGCATCCCAAACCTGGAAACACTTGGCATATATGGTATTCGCCTTAAATGGCCCTTCTTCCTCCCCTCCTCCACTGCACCAATGCCCGCTTCACACTTCATACCACATATATTTTTATATTTTCTTTATTTATTTACTTTCTGAAGAATATGCTTTGCATCAGTCACTGACATGCTGGGCGCTCGCTATAGCCAAATACATATATACTCCCTCCGTCCTATAAAAAAACCAATCTATTACTACCGAACTAGTTGGGTGGCCCGCGCAATTGCGCGGCTAGCATCCATATAAAATTATCTATTTTTTCCATATGATTTTATTTAAAATTATCATTCCCGTGTTTCAAATTTTATTGCACCTTATTTCTTTATCACCCCTTTATTGTTTGCTTGATCTATCACTACGACTATTCATTGTCTTTAGAAATTTCAAAAATTAGACCTTGTAGCTTTTACAGATCATTGTCTAGTTGACTTTCGTTCTCATAATTTTTAGAAGTCCCATCAAACATCGCCAATGTACTCCTCTATGGCCCGTTTACTATCTCATCTCTTTACTATCCTTGGGATTTTAAAAATCGAACATAATTATTGTTTGTGTTCTTTTTACTTTCTGAAAGTCCCGCCAAACTATTAGCGGCTTCGCCACTATACTCCTCTACGGCCTGCCCGCTGCCTCCCATCCTTTTTGTCATTGAGATTTTGAAAATCGAACATAATTATCATTGGGGTTTATTTATTTTATTTTCTATAAGTTCCGCCAACCGCCATAACCGTGCTGCTTAACGGTGTGCCCGTCGTCCCTCCTCTTAATCGTTATTGGGATTATATTTTTCAATAGTCTTTATTTTTATTACGAATTTTATTTATTTATAAAATGTATTCCAGATGAACTCCTATTTTTTCTTTTTCTAATTTTAGGATTTAGTTTATTTTAAATTTAGAATTTTAGTTAATCTCATATAGTGCTCTGATTTTATTTAAAAATATCATTCTCGTGTTTCTAATTTTATATTTTTCAGTCACCCCTTTATTTGATTTCTCGATCTACCACATTTTCTTTAGAACTTTAAAAATTAGACCTTGTAGTTCTTAGAGTTCATTGTCTTGTTGAGTTTCGTTTTTATAATTTTTAGAAGTCTTGTCAAACGTTGTCAATGTACTCCTCTTCGGTCCGTCCACAGCCTCATCTATTTATTGTCTTTGACATTTTAAAAATCGTTCATAATTATTATTTGTGTTCTTTTTTATTTTCTAAAAGTCCTGCCAAATTGTCAACGGTTTCGTGCAAAACTTATGGTTGAAGGAGTTTGACTGCCCAGCTGGTTTGCCTTCCTGCACATGATTTTGTACAGGACGTGTTAATTGTGCATATATACTATTTCTAATTTAGCTATGCGTATAGGACGTGATTGTCTCGTGTCAGTAAATTAAGTTTGGTAATCTGATTTTGATTTCAGAGGCTATTGAGCACATGTCAAATGTTATTTTCGCGCTTTTTCATGAAAACATAGTCAAGCTTTTACACCTATTTCGATTAAATCTCAACTCTTATAATCTAGATCTATTATGATCTAATGGTGTAGACTTTTTATTTCTCTCTGATTTTCGTGAAAATTTCTAGACCTGTAGGGCAAACGTGATGTCTCATTTTAAAATTATCTTAATAATGTACTTTTTAATGATACTCATATAAAAATGTAGGGAGGATGTCTTCAGAAATTTAAATTGACGTGTACATCTTAGTTCTTATTTGTTTGAATATCTAAAAGGTGCTTGGTAGTATTTAAGTTTAGAAACTTGAAAGCAAAAGAGAACTCATATAACTTATAATTTTTAAAATTAGCATGTGCTAATCATTAAGAGCTTGTTGTAATTAAGGAGTATAATTATCAGGCATCGATGATTACTAATTATATGTTTGAAGAAAACCAAGAACGTGTCCGGTTGATAGGCCAGAAGCTCAAAAGAACCTTTCTACTTTGTCCGGCTGGGAATCCGACTCTGAATAGGAGTCCAAACATGATTTATATAATTTCTAAAGCCTGAATAGGACTTATATATATACGATCAATCTCAACCGTTATAATCTAGATCTACTACGATCTAACAGTTTAAATATTTTTCTTTTTCTCCGATTAACGTGGGATTTTCTAGCCTCTACATCAAACGTGGTGCCTTATTTTCAAGCTGTCTTAATTATATAATAGATAGTATAGCACATCTTAATATTATGCATCTGGACATACATCTGTCCAGATTCATAGTACTAGGCAGGGTTCCTCTCACCGTTTTCGGTGTGGTTGCCGGACCCGCGGTAACCGTGCGGTTACAGCGAAAACCGTGTGGTAACCGCGAGACATACCGTGGTTTATAAGGTTACCGTGCATGGTAACCGCGATAATTACGTGGTAGCCGCGCGGTTTTGTAAACCCTGGTACTAGGATGTATCACATGCTATCCTAGATTTGGTTTTTATGGGATAGATAGAGTATGTGTTTATTTGCACTTATATATACATTTGTAGCTTATCACGCATTATCTATTCTTGGGATATGTTAGAATGATTTCAAGTCAGTCTCTAGACATGCTCGTACATACTACAAGGGATACCGTCACAGTAATCCATAAGAATCAGTTTTACTTTCAAAAAGAGCATGCCAACCAAAATAAAGGACGATCGGAATTGTTGATTTCGTACGTCATTAATTCCTGCCCGACTTGGGATAAAGCTGGACGACAAATCGAGCTCGTATTTGAAGGCCTCATTGTTTGGCTTATGCTTATTCCTATAAACCAAAATTTAAAATTTAGAACTTAATTTGAATTCAAATTTTTGGCTTTTTTATCGTACTTTTTTTTACATCATTTGCTTTTGAGTCGCTAAGAACATATGTATAAAAGATTTGCACACAAATAAAATAGTCTTTAAACGAAACAATGGGCTGTGATTATTTATCCACACGTATGTACAAATTAAATTGGCTCTACCCGTTGCAACGCATAGGGGTATTTTTTTCTAGTATATTATTAAGAATATAATTATGATTAGTTTGAAAAGAGTACTCAAATTCACTCTCTAGGCATAGACCGTAAGCACTGGATGAACATCAGCTGTTGCAGCCACAGTCCCAGCCTTATGAACACTCGTATAGAAATTATTACCAGATCGACCGGCCGGATAAATCGAAAGGCACATGTTGCAGAAATGTTTATATTTAGACAAAATTTAAATCCTATAAATCATTTATATTCTGGAGCAGAGGGAGAGGGCGTAGTTGTTTATACTCCATCCGTTTCAAAATGTTTGACACTGTTGATTTTTTATACGTGTTTGACCATTCGTCTTATTTAAAAAATTTAAGTAATTATTTATTCTTTTCATATCATTTGATTCATTGTTAAATATACTTTTATATACACATATAGTTTTACATATTTTACAAATTTTTTTAATAAGACGAACGGTCAAACATGTGCTAAAAAGTCAATTGTGTCGAATATTTTGAAACGGAGGGAGTATTAGTTAGCTCATGCGCATTGCATACCTACATGCGGGTATGAGTTCTTTGGGCACTCCAATAATAATCTCCTATTTTAAAAGCCCCAAAGACCAAATGAAGGTTGCCCCATTTAATTTCCTGAGAACCTAAAAGCTCTAAACCGCACTCCAAACCACTTACTCCCTCCGGTTTTATTTTAATTGACATTTTGGACAATGACACCGTCTACAAAATATACCTTGACCTTATTTTCTATTATAATATATACAATAAATAAATACATGTTTACTTTTATTATAGTGTTTTGAAAGACAAATATATATATGTTGTTCTAGTTTCTTTAAACTAAATATTTTTAAAGTTATTGATGGTTAAAGTTATAAAAGTTTGACCTTAACCTTGTTCAAAACGTTAATTATTATAGAACCGGAGGGAGTAGGATGCAAAATAAGCTGGTCTTGATAGTTGAGAGATATTTTATATTTGGTTTAACGGTTGAGAGATGCTTATCAATTTGGGCAATATATGAGGGGTCACAAAAAGACTTTTGAAAGGCTTTTATGGGCCAATGCAGGTGCGGAATCCGTCTTGGGCAGAGTATGTGTCATGGGCCGTGCAATGGCTCACCGCTTATTGGGCTTTTTCGCGCAGCGTGTGAGAGGCCGGAATGGGGGGAATGGGATGGAAAAGGTACACCGAAGGTCCCTCAACTTGTCATCGGAATATAAAAACAATCTCGAACCGCAAAACCAGATATTTGGGATCCCTTAACTATATAAGACCGGTCACCCGAGGTTCTTCGGTGGTTTTGACCCGGTTCTAGTCTACGTGGCAGCTAAATCAGCGTGGGACCCATGTGAGACCCACGTGTCAGTGTGCCACGTCAACAGCCTTTATTTCCCATCTTCTCTCCCCCCCTCTCTCTCTCAATCTTGTCTCTGCAGGGCGCCGGCGGGTGGGGAGGAGGCCGGCGGGGAGCTCCTCCTGCGTGGCCGCGAGCTCCGCGTCAAAGGGTGGTGGGTGCTGCCGGTCAAGGCGCACCACGCCGCGGGGCGGCTGACGGGCGCCGCGTCCGCCATGCTTGCCATCGCAGCCGTAAGACATCCCTCCTCGGCGAGACTTCCCCTGTGTTCATGTTCGCTGCTGCTTCTTGATTCGTCAGGTCCCGCGATGAACTTGCTCTTCCTGATTTAATTTGTCCGGTGCAGTGCGGGAAGCCTCTGCAGCATGGCGCCGTTGCGCGGGGCCAAGCGCCGGAGAAGAAGGCTACAATGGCGGCGGCCGCTGCGGCGGGTGGCGTGCCCAGAGCAGATTGCGAGGCGGATCGACGCCGACGGCGCGCCGGGGGAGAGCACAGCGCTGCGGGCGCGCTCCTACGGCTGCATCCGGGTGTTCCTCGTCCTATCCCTGCTGCTGCTCGCCGTCGAGGTCGCCGCCTACCTCTAGGGGCCTTGCTCCCCCCGCCGCCGCCTACCTCGGCCAGGAGGACGGGGGAGCTCCGTTTTCGTACCCAGCCACCGCGACCCCATCTTGAATATTGATACATACTCTGAATTTTGAGAGCTTTTGGTGTGTGTTCTTGTTTCATGGTTGCCCTCTCGATCTTCATGGTCATGGGACGACGTTGTCCTTCTCCAGCGGAATCGATCGATCCACCCGTCCGTGGCCATAGCCGCCGTCGCCGGTCAATACATCATCCACGCAATTGTGCTGCTCCTCTCCCAAGAAAACCACGCAAGCGAGCTCCGCGGAAACCGATCTCCGCTGCCGACGACAAAATAGGCGATTTAGATGCAAGATTGGGGAACGGCGGGGAGGATTCCTGCTCCATGTTGATCCTCCGCAGCAGCCGTGACCGCGTCCATGTCCCCATCAGCCGCCATCCCGCCATCCGGCGGGGACGAGTGTCGCCCTCCTCCTCCCACCACCGCGCTCGCCTCCCGCCCCGTGCCGCGCCGCGCCGTTCCTCATCGTCGACAGCCTCTCCCGCAATCACGACGGCGCGCCGCGGCGTCGTCGGGGCAGACGAGCAGTTGGGCCTCCCCATGCTTCGCCTCCCCCCGTGCTCCCGCCGCCGTCGCCATCGGCTGCCGCACCTCCTTTCCTGCCTCGCCCCGCCGGCCTCCTCCCCACCTGTCGCCGCCCTGCCCGAATGAGATGAAGAGTGAGAGAGAGGAGGAGGTGAGAAAACAGTGAAAAGAGATTGGTGATGACGTGGACAGTCTGACAGATGGGTCCCACGTAGGTCTCACGCTGACTCAGCCGCCACGTCCAACAAAACCAGAGACAAAACCACCAAAGGACTGTTTTGTAAGTTGAGGGATGTTCTATATCTGTTTTGCGGTTGGAAGATGATTTTAAAATTCGATGACAAGTTGAGGGATGTTTGGTGTACTTTTCTCCGAATGGGATTGCGGAGTATATATGGGCCGTATCTTTTGTGAAACTTTTTGGGCCGACGCGGTGAGGAATTTGACATGGTCTATTGGGCTTCTTCCATTTCCCTTCTAGTCCGTGTAATTAAGTATAGTCAATTCGCCATCGTCAACTTACTCCTCATATAGGAGTATATACTATCTGATCATGAAACATCTATCTCACCTACTTCCTCCGTTTCACAATATAAATCATTTTAACATTTTTTATATTCATATTGATGTTAATGAATCTAGATATTTTGTCTAGATTTATTAACATCAATATAAATATAGAAAATGCTAGAATGACTTAGATTGTGAAACAGATGGAGTAATTAGCTACGAACTTACTTAAATTTGTCCTGACCCGACCTGGATTGATATGATCAGTATCTTGTTGGTTTATATATTATCTGGTAGTACTTGTACTTACCACTAAATATATGCTTAATTAGATATGCCATGCCGGATATATGCATGTACAACGAACTAATAATAACTCCTTAATAACTGAAAAAATAACTAATAACTCTTCAACTGAACCAAGGGTTAAGCAGCTCGATCGATCGATCATCCTCTCTTTATAGTTATTATATATGCCATCATAATCATTAAGTATACTCAACTAGTGTACTGCACGCTAGCTATTTCCATCTTAATTGGCACGTCGTGGCATAGCCAACTAGCATCAATAATTAACTTCCATCACGCACTTTTTGTGGCCAAAGGTATTACTTATTCATCAAGCCAACAACTGCATGCAGCTCATGTAAGAACTAATTCACATCGAACTTTTTTTTTCTTAAAAGAAGAGATTAAAATCCGGTCTCTCATATATTTCATAATGTTGAATGACTTTGCAAAGTGAGTGGATAGGTTTCTTGTGGTGAAATCTATCTATCCTGTTCAAGTTCTAAATTTGACACATGCGCTTTTATTTATGACTAATTATTCTTTTAATGATAGACGATACATATACCCCTCACAGCGAGACACTCCTAGTGATTTCTTCAATCTTAAGACATGTCAATCTAATCTTTCAAAAATGTTTATAGGGTAGTTTGTGTGTTTGTAAATCCCAAGACATATCAACTCAGTTTTTTAAAAGTGTTTATTGTATTTTTAAAAAAGAAACAATACCGTTGTGTGTCTTATGACATAAGCCGGAGATGTAATCCATTTCCATTATCTTAAAAAAAAAAGAAACAATACCGAATCATTCGTGTTTTTTGGGGTAAGTGTGAAATCGTGTTTCAAAAAAAAATTGTTGAACGACTTTTGACTTAATATTTTTTAGGTGTGCCTTTTCTCATGATCAATAGATAATAGATGAATAGTTTGTGATAATTATTTATGGTATAAATGAATGACTTAATAATTATAAAATTTTAAAAAATGGATTTAAAAGTATTATAAGAAGTTCATAATATATAAAAAGTTTTAGCAAATATTGTACCGTTTAGGATCGAGTGGCCTAACACAACTAAGTAGGAGTTTAACTGAAGCAAGTTACCAAGTTAGCCAGCTAGGAATAACTGATCTTGTCTCTTGGGGGAGACGAGTGGGTCACAAACAACAAGTGGCAAAGCAACATCTTCTCCATTAATCAAATACAACTAGGGCAAGTGCGCCCTAATCTCCTGGTCAGGAAACTTGGGAGCTATTAACTGTTTGCGATTAAACTATACAAAATGTTTTGATTAAAGGGAGCTACGGCAACAACCAGCTTTGAATCCTTCTGACCAAGCAGAAACAGGGGTGACATAAACCACCTTTCCGACGCTGACATCACAACCTTCAAGCTTAATTGGATATGTATAACCTGTTATACCCATCAGATTCCTACAAGAAGAGGAACACTATTAACTTAATCCTAATCAGGGCCAACAGGATGAGGACAAGGTCACCATGACATGGCACATTGCCAATTTGCCTTTTCTTTTCTTTTCTTTTCTTTTCTTTTCTTTTTTTTTTTTGGTTTTCCTTTTGGTCCTCCAATTATGCACTTAAACAATGGGATCATTTTTTTGTTTCCCACAGGACAATAAAAAGGCTTAATTGGACTGATCAACTATTGCTGCTTGCAAAGCTTGCTCACCTGGCAAAGGCATTAGTTTAAGCTTGGTCGACATGACCAGCTGGTTGAGCATGAAGTGTACTAGATTTGTTTGATTCAGCTGGTTCCGAGCTAAGCCAGATAACTACTTGCCAAATAGAGTATATATAACTATCTGATTGATACTCTCAATGCCTGTATAAACATGAGTATTTAATTTGGTCATTAGCATCCAGCTTTGCTTGCATCTACTCTAAGACTTTGCAACCGATATATGCGACAAAATTATCAGTTGACCGACTTAATCTCTTCAGCTCATTTATTTATTTATTTCTCCTACTCTGCAGCATAATCGGAGTTGATTATCTAATTGGGTAGCTGCTGGGCATTCATAGTATGATTAGCTCAAGTACATCACTACATCTGCAAATGGTAATTGTCTAAGCAATAGTGCCCATGGCATCATTGCATTACAATAATAACCAGTTTGATTTGTTCAAGCAAGAAGAAATTGGTGTGTGTAAGCATGTGAATTTGCATTACCCATGGTTTAATTCGATTTATATTTACCTCCTGCAGCAGGACCGACGACCGGCCGGTTCTTAACCTTTTCTGAAGAAGAACAGTTCTGTTAACGTCAACAGATTCAGCAACTCTGTAGATGAAATGGTAAAGGTGATTACAAGTGCTTTAATTAATTAATTAATTTTTTTTACTGGCGTCAAGTTTCGAGTGGACTGTATCTCACTCTTTTTCTTACCTGCTCGATCGTAGTTATTTAATTAGTCACTCATGGGGCCTCATGGTTTCACATTAATCTGATCCTCAACTGTAATATACCAATATATACTACACTTATCAAAGGAGTGATCAAAGCATGACACAGTGAGCAAAAAAAAAAAGCATGACACAGTGATCAGACATAAACCTTGGATCAGCATGCGCAACTAAGCTACTGGTTCAAAGATCAATACACGGTGGATTGAAGAATCATTCTTTCAACCTCTCTCACTTGTAATTATTTTGGATATGTAAAGTTAATGTACATGGATTATTAGTATCTAAAGCTGTGAAATAGTTGTACGTACGTACGTACGTACGTGCAGTAACAGAATTTAGACTGATGCAATTGATTTCACAAACCATGGGAGATGGTGACGTGCACGACAGCTTGATTTCTTGATCTGATTATATAATTAGGGTAGTCTAATCACGCTCCCACATGTATCTAATCTATACTACGTAGTACTATCTAACACGCGGAGACTAAGGAACATTTCCTCCCCGTTGACCACAAACGAACACAAGATCCATGCATCCGGGCCGTTGGATCGTATGAATCAACGGCTAAGATTATCCACGCGCCAAGCACGAAAAGTCAGCGCATGTACGACGGGCAATGAGAAAAGTCATAGGCCGTTGATCCCTGATCGGACGGTCCAGGATCAACCTGGAAAGATCCCACGCCTAGTCACCATCTATATATACGTGGAGACTGGAGAGAGATTAGCTTTGTGATTAGTAAGCAACTTAACACAAGATAGTCCTAGTTCTAGCTAGATAGGTTTGAAGAGCTAGCCATGGCCACCATTGTTGCATGGGAGAGTAGAAACCTGCAGCTGCAAGGAGGAGGAGGTGGCCATGGCGGTGGCGGCGGCGGTGGCGGCGGCGAGCGGCGGGAGTACATGTTCGAGAAGGTGGTGACGCCGAGCGACGTGGGGAAGCTGAACAGGCTGGTGGTGCCGAAGCACTACGCCGAGAAGTACTTCCCGCTGGGGCCGGCGGCGAGGACCAGCCCGGCGGGCACCGTGCTGTGCTTCGAGGACGCGCGGGGCGGCGACAGCACGTGGCGCTTCCGCTACTCCTACTGGAGCAGCAGCCAGAGCTACGTCATCACCAAGGGATGGAGCCGCTACGTCCGCGACAAGCGCCTCGCCGCCGGCGACACCGTCTCCTTCTGCCGCGCCGGTGCCCGCCTCTTCATCGACTGCCGGAAGCGCGCCGCCTCCGTGTCGTCCTCGTCGCTGGTGCCACCGGCCTTGATCAAGGTGCAGCTGCCGCCGTCGCGGCCTGTCGTCGACGAGGAGGAGGCTGCGTGTGGCCGGCGGTGCCTCCGGCTGTTCGGCGTGGACCTCCAGCTCCGCGCCGATGCCTCGCCGGCGCTGGATTTGCAGCTTTGATCTAGCTGAGGCATCTCATCAGTTTTGTACTAATTCTCCAACTGATTAGTATTCATTTTCCCTCAAAAAAATTAGTATTATTCATACACGAACATGCATGCTGCTCTCCTGTCGAATAAAATGAGGTCGTCGAAGACGAAGTTGTACATTAGATTAGCACAAGATTAATTAGGAGGGGTGAATTTAATTAATTAGACATGGATCGATTGATATATATGCACTGAAGATGATTAATTGGACGATGGAAGCAAGCAACAACACAAGGCTAAGGTACCTAGCTAGCTTTGCTTTCATTTTTCCAAATTAAATTTCATGTTTCTTGTCAGATCGATGAATAGAATTTGTTTTTGCGGGTTGATTGTGAATTTCGGTTCTCCTGTTCTTAATTTCGCCCTCTTCACACGCGTCGCCATACGACATTAACACGATCGCCCTCTTAACATATTCTAATTCAACTAGCTAGCCACCTACACCATGATCAGAACAAGAAAGCCTATCACTATATATCTAACTAAGCTCTAGCTAGCTCCAAATATATATATATATATATATATATATATATATATATATATATATATATATATATATATCCCGGCCACTTGATATATTACATACATCAGGTCAATTAAACTTACTCATCTTGTTCATAAACAATCTGCAGCTTGACTGCATTTATATGCAGTCATAGCAGCTAGCGTGTAAGTTCACTTGGTGCAAATCAGGGAAAAATCAAGTTGGTACCAAGAAAGAGGAAGGCCCATGTACACTGATGTCTTCAATAAACTTAATTAGGCCCACCGCATTCATGCTTCAGTGCCCATGCGGCCCAGCCCATCCCTTCAATTGGGCTCACTGTGGCCTAGAGCCTACTCCAGTAGTTTATCTTTGGCACAGACATCTCTGCCCCAGGACAATTATCAACTTCTTTACACATTAACCCTTCTAATCCCACCGTCAAATATTTATTCCCCCAATTCCAATTCCTGGTGCCTAGTTTCGTCCATTACGCTGTTTTTTTTTCTCAAATTGTACTAAGCACATGGAAAACAAATACAATAATTAATCTCTACTATTATAAAAATTAAAGATGTTTTTGTCGGTACTTTAGTACGTCATTCGTGTTTGAGTTGGTTTTTAAATTCATTCACTTTTAGAAATACATATTTGTGTTTGACTCAGTTTCTAAGTTCATTCTCTTTTAGAAATTTAGAAGGAGTCGCATAAGAAATCTCTTAAAAAAACTCGCATGCTAACTTGAGACGATTGGACTTCTAATTGCAACTTATGATTTTGTAAAAAAAAAACAAACAACAATAATAATATTAAAATAGCCCTTCACCCGTTGCAACGCACGGGCATTTTTTTTCTAGTAGAAAAAATTGTTGAAACCAAGACAACAATTGATCTACTGGTGACCTATTTTAGACCGAAAACGATACCAAACCTAAACCTGCTCAGTTTATTAGAGGAAACCGAGATAAATCAATGAAGACAACCAACTCAACACCTAGCTAAAGTAACCGCAATAATAGGATTAGCAAACTTAAAATGTAGTAATAAGACTTTAACACTCTGGCAACAATCCAATGTTATTGTCGTCATACCATCGTATCTATGACTACAAGCCGATTTCAAAGGAAATAAGGCCTACCAACCCACGCTTCCAACTCTATCAAATTTGTGTTATCATTGCCACATGTTGCGTTGTGCCAATACCGCAAGTTTTCACTTGATGATCAACTTTATTACAATAGGGCTAAGATCGACTGAAAGAACCCAATAGACTTAGATCAATCATTCATGCACCCGGTTAGATGGAACTGTCGACTCCATTGTATCATCGTTGCTCCTGATTTAATTGACACTAGTCTCAACTCATCAGACACTAGCTAGCATAGGGTTAGGATCTCCAAAATGATGACTCCATGGTCAGATGACTCCGACTTCGATATGAAGCACCAATAAATATGGTCAAGGTGACTTGAGCTATGCTCCTAGAGAAATGTGACGTCTGAAGTCTCTCCCTGCGAACTTGATGGTTTTGGCCTAACCAATTTCGGTCGTCTGAGCCTTCAGCACATATGCCTAAACCAGGCAATTGATTAGGGTTGCAACCAAACATTACTCTGGCAGCTCTCAAGCAGCAGTCCGTTCAGGCAAATTTGGTTCAGGGTAGCAACCAAACACCCCCTAAGACCTGCAACCCAACCCATATTTCCAACTCAATCATACTTATGTTATCATTGTCGCACATTGCAATTATCGACTTTATAATGGTAGTGATGAGATTAATTGGAAGAGCCTAATAGAATTAGAGCAACCGGTCATACACACAATTAGATGGAACCATCCACTCCATCAAATATTATCGTTGCTCTTGATTTAACTGAGACCGGTCGTCTAGCATAGGGTTAGGATCTCCAATATGATGGCTCGATGAGACTTCTCGATTTAACAAACCAGATTTAGGGCCCATTTGATTTGGAGGAAAAACATAGGAATTTTAGAGGATTTCAAAAATTTTCTATGAAGCCCTTTGAAACAAAGGATTGAATTCTATCTAATCCTTTGAAATTCCTATGGAATGAACAATCCTATAGAGATTTTGGAAGAAATTTAGCAAGAGTTTCAACCTCTTGCTAACTTTCCTTTGAGTCTATATCTCTCATCCAATTCCTGTGGTTCAATCAAACGGTCATTCCTGTGTTTTTTCTGTGTTTTGCAATCCTCTGTTTTACACTTACATTCCTATCAAAATCCTACGTTTTTCCTATTCCTACGTTTTCTCAATCCTGCGACCAAGGTCTTTTCGCTACAATTGTATCATATTGATGTAATTGACCCATTACAATAAAGCTTCTTTCATCTGAGAAAAAAGAGATATTTTTTGAGTTGTAAAGGAGAGATGGAGCAAAGGTAGAGGGAGATAGCTGAAGAGATATCTGAATCTGCAGGAATCTGAAAAGGAGAGCAGCACCACCCAAGGGCAAGCTGAGAGAAGAAAAGTGTGCAGTGTAGTGTGGAGTTCCCTCCAAAATCACTGGCTACCCCGCCACATCCTCTGCCTTCCACTCATCATCTATCTCTTCTCTTCTTCTCACTACTACAACTACTTCTTCCTCCTCCTCACACCTGCACACACTTGCACACTTGCACCCACCCTCTCTCCTCCATCCAGCACCGACCATGGCCGCCGTCACGGCTGCGGCCGTCTCCACCTCCGCCGCTGCTGCAGTCACCAAGGCATCGCCGTCCCCCGCCCACTGCTTCCTGCCATGCCCGCCAAGAACCAGAGCCGCCCACCAGCGCGGCCTGCTGCTGCGCGCGCAGGTGTCCACCACCGACGCCGCCGCCGTCGCCGCCGCGCCGGCCAAGAAGGAGAAGATATCCAAGAAGCATGACGAGGGCGTCGTCACCAACAAGTACAGGCCCAAGGAGCCCTACGTCGGCAAGTGCCTCCTCAACACCAAGATCACCGCCGACGACGCGCCCGGCGAGACATGGCACATGGTCTTCAGCACCGAGGGTCTGTAACTCATCATCCATCCTATCCAATCCAATCCAATCCAATCCAATCCTTGATTACTCACTACTCAGGATTGCAGGTGAGATCCCCTACAGAGAGGGGCAGTCCATCGGCGTCATCGCCGACGGCGTCGACAAGAACGGCAAGCCGCACAAGCTCAGGCTCTACTCCATCGCCAGCAGCGCTCTCGGCGACTTCGGCGACTCCAAGACCGTCAGTCCCCCTCTTCTCTTCTCCTCCTTATTCAATCTCATTCCTTCTCATCGGATCGATCTCCTTTCTTCACACCAGATAATCATCTTCACTTGTACCTCTAGGTTTCACTCTGCGTCAAGAGGCTCGTTTACACCAACGACCAGGGAGAGATTGTCAAAGGAGTCTGCTCCAACTTCCTCTGTGAGTTCGTCTGCATTCTTCTCATGATGATCACAATTGCATTCTGAATTTTACTGCATTAGTTTGCATTCAGCTCTTCTCAAGACGGTATTCAGAGTACTGCATTCTGCTGTCCTGATCAACAAATAGTTTCACACAGTATATATTCAGAGTACTGCGCTTTGCTGCTGCTCTGAACCTGAATACTAACATATTAATTTGTTACAGATTTCAGAGATTCAGTTTAAGTCTTACATATCTCAATCTGCTAGTTTTTTTCCCACTGAAAACAACATGCTGCTAGCTCTAATCTTGAATAATCAATATGATCCATCAAATTATATTTGATTCAACATGTAACCTGCATATAATGATTCTCCATTCAATAAGTTTATGTCTCACATCTACTTTTTGCGGGGTCATGTCTCACATCTACTTCACCTTGCTAATATAGGTGACTTGAAGCCTGGTTCTGATGTCAAGATAACCGGACCAGTAGGCAAAGAAATGCTCATGCCCAAAGATCCCAATGCTAATATTATAATGGTGAGCTTAAATTGCATGGTGAATTGATCCATCTCAAAAAATCTACACCACAACAAATTTTAACCTTGTGCGGTTACTTGCAGCTTGCGACCGGTACTGGTATTGCCCCGTTCCGCTCATTCTTGTGGAAAATGTTTTTTGAGAAGTATGATGACTACAAGGTACCAATGTTGCATCATTAGTTTTCAGACTTTATGCTTGTTTCAAAATCTTAAAATTCATACTTTATTTCTCCAAATGATTTTTTTCTTTGTTTTAAACAATATGTGTGAACTCTTGTGCAGTTCAATGGTCTGGCTTGGCTCTTCTTGGGAGTCCCAACTAGCAGTTCTTTACTCTACAAGGAGGTCAGCTTATACATACATCTCTGCAAGTGCTACTGCTACTTTTGTGTGCTACTGAAATTCCTCACTTGCACTGTATGTATTTGTTAAAATTCAGGAGTTTGACAAAATGAAGGCGAAAGCGCCAGAGAACTTCCGGGTCGATTATGCTGTGAGCAGGGAGCAGACCAATGCTCAAGGAGAGAAGATGTACATTCAGACCAGGATGGCAGAGTACAAGGAAGAGCTGTGGGAGCTCCTGAAGAAGGACCACACCTATGTGTACATGTGTGGACTGAAAGGCATGGAGAAGGGTATTGATGACATTATGGTGTCATTGGCTGCAAAAGATGGTATATATGCTTCTGAACCTTACCTTTTTGCATGGATAATTTAAGAATCTGAGTAATTCTTTTGCATGCTAAATTTTGCATGGTATCGTTGTTAGGAATCGACTGGGCTGATTACAAGAAGCAACTGAAGAAGGGCGAGCAATGGAACGTGGAAGTCTACTAATTCTTCCAATTTTCCTCACATCTGTTTCTTTTTTTTCTTCCATTTGTATCTGTGTGCACATCTGTGCCTGTGATCACTCTATAATGTTAGATAGGCGTATATATATACTGTTTGTCATGTTGGTTAAATTCAAGCTTCATATAAGAATTACTACTTATGTCTGATCCAAATACTACTATGGTCAAGTCAAGAGTAATAATAATAATAATGCAATGCAGTTCACTCAAGAACACCTTTATGCCGAGTATATGTAAACTCGCAGAAGTCATGGAATTACACGGTTTATCCATAAATCACACGTAGAATTCTTATATGGTTGCAGTTAAACTATTGCATACAGGATCTATTTCTGAAGTGGTAGCTAATTAACTCAGTGTTGGTTTAGATCATTTCTAGTATTCTTTGGATCAATTAAAACCTAAATAACTTCATGCATGATAGTGCTCTCGGATTAATTGTACAACAACATGGCTGCCCTGATTGACAAAAAAAAAAGTTGGTGGAGAACTTATTTGTTAAAATCCCAAAGGGGACGCTGTCACCACTCTTCATTCAGAGTTGCACTTGCTGCTGCTGTTGTTGCTGCTGTTGCTGTTGCTGTTGCTGTTGCTGCTCTTTATCATGTTCAGCAACTTTTGGAGGGAGGTGCAAGGCCTCCTGCCTCTTGCCCCACAGCAGAAGATAAAGGCCACCTATCACAAGTACAGATCCCAGCACGCTGCATATGTGTATGGCAGTGCAATGGTTTCAAAATCTGAATGTGCAATCAATCTGACATTACTTACATAGGAGCATATATATGCTGTAACAATGAGTAACCGTACCTTCCAAGGAAGAGCTGTTCATGGAGGACAGTGAAGTCAATCACTGAAACAATGATCTGCACCACCGGAATGAAGGCTGCGACGAACACTGGACCGCGCTTCTCGATGCACCATGTCAGTAGCACAAACGAAAGGCCACACCCCACCACACCCTGAAACAAAAGAAATGAAGAAAGAAAAAATGATGAGAAAATTAAGCAGAATTGAAGCTCTGTAAGTGATCAGTGAATTGAAGCAAGAAGAAACAGAAAGGAGTTGAGTAATTGCGTACGGCGTAGAGGATGGTGAGTATGTGGAACTTGGTCCTGACGATCCAGACGGAGACGTTGCGTTGTGTGGAGAGGCCGACGACGGCCACCTGGAGGAAGCTGAACATGCACATGAAGGCATTGCAGGAGTAGACATGGGGGTACTTCTTGGCGAGCCTGCTGTGGAGGAGGAACCAGCAGGAGAGGCACACGCAGTTGCCCAGGATGGCCACCGTGCCCAGCGTCCAGTTCCTGCTGCTCATGGCTGCTTCTGCTGCTACTGCTGCTGCTGCTGTTGCATGGTGGATCTTGGTTGTGTGGGTGACAGCCACGCCCTTGTAAAATGTCAGCACCATGGCTCCTGCTACTGATATCAGCGTGCCCACAAGCTTTGCAATGCCTGTCTTTCTCCTCAGGTTCAGTGATTCTGACCTGTCCATTCGTGTATAAGGCCAGGCCAATTAATTGGCAAGCAAAAGATAAAGAGAAAAAGGTTGACACCTGGTGTGCAATAATTCAGAATTTATTGGGTCTTCCAATCAAGAACCTACCGTGTTAGGATGGCAAGCAAGAATGTGAGGACAGGAGCGATATTGGAGAAGGCAGTGACGAAGGTCGCCGTGGTGTATCTCAAAGCAACGAAGATCATGTACTGCCTTAGAGCTGCCCTGCAAGAACAAGAGAGAAGAACAACTTAGTAAAGCCATGAATTTGTTTTTTCGCCGGGAGATGAATTTGTTTTTTCTTCAAGAGCAAAAGAAGAAGAAAATTAAACTAGAGGCAAAATTCGTATGAATTGAATTGGTACCCGAGCGCAGCACTGACGAAGAGATAAGTGAAGATCTCCAGTGTGAGCTTTGGCCTGGACTTCCTGCATGAGCACAATTCAATAAAGCAGTTACAGCACTGAATTGTTGAATAATCCAGGTCCAGGATGTGTAGATGCAAGTCATTGATGAACACCTCTCTTTGAAGTAGGCAATTGGGCCGAGGAAGATGGCGGCCGTGAGCTGCTGAAGAGTGACGAGGACGAGAGGGTTGAGGCCGCCGTCCATGGCGACCTTGACGAGCGACACCAACACCGCCGCGACGACGTTGAGAGCCAGCATGGCGATGACCGGCAGGCCACCTCCGAGCCACCACCCCATGCTAGCTTCACTTGTTCTTGGAAGCTCGATCCTCTCGGTGCAGTGCCCTCTGCTCTCTGACTGGACTGCAACAACAACAGCTAAGCTAAGCTGTCTCCTTGATACAACAACAAAGTCAGTTTCAGGTAGATTTATAGGGTTTCGATCGATAGAGGAAGGAGATGAAAGAAAGAAAGAATGAGGTGGCGAGGATGACAAGACACAAAATGCTGGACGGGCAGGCGCAGGGGGTGACCAAAGAATCGTTTCAGGTACGCCTTTTTCGTCCTGAAGAAAAAAAGATGTTGATCTCTGAATTCTGATGATGATGATGGATTAGTAGTTACAGCATCTGGGTGCCCGATGAACTGTACAACGCCATCATTTTAATTGGTGTGGGCAATGATGCAGTCGGCATTTCGCATGGCACAAACCATCTTTCCCAAAGCCAAAATCATCTCCGTTTTAAAGCTCTTTAATTTTAACTGTTTGTTAGATATGTTGGTATCCCCTTGCAATCATGCTCCCTTTGATTTCATTTCATCTCAATCCCATCAGCCCACATGTATTTACACTTATACATACATAGCATACATTCTCCTCTCTTTCACTGCACTCACATACTTAATTAGCTGTATAAACAGGTGAAGCATATCTCTGCTTAATTACGGCGGCAGAGCGGTTAAAGTGAAAGAGGGAATAGAATTTCCTTTCTGAATGTCTTGTTCCTGCTGCAATTGCGCTTGTGCAGCAAGAATAATTTATTACCATACGGAATTGGATGTTAATATAAGTAATTAGCATTTGCAGAAAGAAAATATGCAGCTAGCTTAGCTTTATATATTCGATCCCTCCGGCCGGCCGGCGTCACAATGTCTACCAAAGGTATAATAAAAACACATATTTTTTTATTTGGTAAAAAAAAAAAACCTAAGGCAAGGCAAGGCAATGCAAGAGGCCAGTTGTCCTCTCAACTGTTGATTGAGATGAGAAGGTGAGAAAAGAATGGTAGGGGAGAGGAAAAGCGATGACCTTATCACTTTGTGTCTGAGATGACCTGAAATGAAAATTTGATGGCACTTTTCCTAGTGCATGAAAGAATCAGTCACTTGAAACCATTTCTTTAATGTTCTTTCTTTCTCCCATGGAAGTGATGAAGTGAAGTGAAGTGAAGTAAGGGGAGTAGCATGCATGCACACCCATGTGGTCTGGTCATCTATATGTACTACAGTAACACATGCATGCACTGGCTGTTCTTCATTTTGCTGCCTCTCTCTCTCAGTTTCAGTTGACATGAGAAAAGGGATCTGATGCTACTGCTCTTTAATTAGCTGCAATTGTACAAAAAGAAACACAAAGGGGAATTAGCTAGCACCCCTCCTGAAACGACGTCTTTGGTCTATATATATATATTAGTAAATGATCAGATCACACAGTTGAAGCATATGCTGTGGGCTTTCATGCTGTCTTCAAATTTAAAATGGACAGTAATATCTTTCAACTGCATGCAGAATCATATGATTCACTCCAAGGGATTTATTCATTTCATCTCAACAATATTGAACCTTATCTTCATCAAGTTGAAAACTTTCAGTTCCAGTACTCCACCGTTCTGAGCTTTTTCTTCTGTAATAATAATCCAGACGATAATTAATATACTGAGTCTGAAAAAGAAGTAGAATGGACAGGAGATTCCTCTCATTTCTTGCATGTCATCAAATTTTTGACAAAAATTGACAAAATAGATTAATATGAAATATCACTCTACAAACATGCAAATCTAAATTCAACTTTTACATGTAAAAAAAAGAACAAATTAAACTGAAAATAATTAACGTGCATTCATAGTTATATATTTTTTTGTTTTTGTTACAACTTGTAAAAGTTGGATTTGAATTTGTATGTTTGTGGAGTGATATAGTTCATATTAATCTATCTTTTTAAATTATTTATGACTATTTTAGATGACATGTAAAAAAAATGAGGGATATCCACTTGAGAGATGAGAACACTTTCCCGAATGGATATTGATATTTCAGACTTGATCTGAAACCACCCATGCATACACAGTGGAATTCAGATCTTTGTGCACTAGTACGTGCAGTGCAACCTAAAGGACACTAATGCGTCCTTGTAGCCACTTAGTTATGTTGTTAATTTTTGGAGGGTCCTAGCTTAGCTAGCTAGCATCTTTTCTAGTAATGACTACTGAGATCAGCGACCAGGAGAGGATACAGTTGATACAAAACTGTCTTTGAATCAAAGCAATTAATTTTAAGCAAGTTGTGGAAGCGGCTAGTGTCCTCCCCTTAACTGGCAGGCAATTAAGTTTATGATTATCTTAACTGCATCCAAACATACTGATCGATACTTTCATGATCAACAGTAGTAACACTGTTAATAATGCTTCAATTAGGTAAAAAAATACAGCCCTAAACTAAAAGCAAGAAGGAGCAGGGCAGTTCTTTAATTTGTAGGGGCAGAGGACGCTGTGTTTGCCCTGGCAGATCGTTTGCTAGCTTAATTCTCTGCTTTCCTCGATCGATATATCACTTTGACGAGACATTACATTGTTGATATGCTAGAGCTCCCTTTTGAGTCATGGAATATATAGTATAGTATAGAATAGGCAAAGACCCTAACACATGCAACTCTTTGAGGAGCCACCTTTATCTGTCTCCTTATTTTTCATATAGACACTATTGACAAACACCTCTGATCTAATCTAAACTTACCATATTGTGTTGGTCTATCAAGTCACAAATACTGGAGGTGTGTTTAGTTGGGGAAAAGAAAATTTTTGGGTGTCACATGGAACGTTTGACCGGATGTTGGAAGAGGTTTTCGGATACGAATGGAAAAACTAATTTCAGAACTCGCCTGGAAACCGCGAGATGAATCTTCTGAGACTAATTAAGCCGTCATTAGCACATGTGGGTTACTGTAGCACTTATGGCTAATCACGGACTAATTAGGCTTAAAAGATTTGTCTCGCGATTTCTCCCATATCTGTGCAATTAGTTTTTCTTTTTATCTATATTTAATGCTTTATGCATGTGTTAAAGATTCGATGTGATGTTTTTGGGAAAAAAATTTAGGTAACTAAATGGGCCCTGGGTAACAACAGTGCATGCTCTTTAATTTCCCCTGTTCAGAAAACAGAACAGATCGAGCACGAGTTCACTTACAGTAGTGTGTACTAATTTTCCACAAAAATTATACTGCTTTAGAAAAATTAACATTTTGGTCACAAAATTTGGATTACTAGCAAAAATGCCCGTGCGTTACAACGGGAAGTGTATAGACCAGAAAATTGAGGAAAAGTTAAGAAAAAAATTACATTATGTAATCAATTAAAATACAAATTTGCTGAAATATTTAGTATTTTTAAGTAGATAGGTGTATAATTAAATCAATTTATAAGTAAATCAAGTGTGAGAAATAAAATGACATGGTTAAATTTAATTTTATTAAATTCTCCATGATTAATTACGCTCTTTAGAATTTTATTAAAATTATCAGAGCTTAATTGCTAATTTTTAATAATACAAACATCATTTAACAATTATTTAATTGGAAAAAGGAATCAAAATCCTCCCTTATAGGTTTGGGCCGAATAAAGAAAAGTTTCCCTCCCTTCGTCTATTCTATGTGTCTGGCCTGTTTCCTTTCTCCGTTGAAGTCCATTTTGCATCCTCCATTCGGTGGCCCAATAGGTCGGCGGCCCGACACGGGAGCATCTGGAGCCGTTCGATCGAATGGACGGTCCAGATTAATCCTAACCTAAATAAATATACCAAAACCCTAACCCTAACCCTAGGATTCATTTCCCCATCCCCCTGCCCCCAATCTCCCCCGAGCGACGATGGTGGTGGCACCCTCCTCCCCCGAGCGGCTGCGGCGGCTCGGAGCAACGACCGGCGAGCGGTGCCCCTGATCCCCTCTCTCAAAGCAACGGCGGCGGCGCCCCCCCTCCTCCTCTCCCTCTCACCTCGGCGGCGGCGGGTTGGTGGCGGCCGCGGCGGATCCGAGGGTGGGGGCAGCGTTGGCGGCGGCGACGGCGGCTCCCTCCATCCCCTCTAGCCTCCCTCCCGCGGCAGATCCGCCGGTGGTGGCGGCGGCGGCGGTAGCCACGGGTGGATCCGTAGGTGGTGGCGGCGGCTGCGGGCGGATACGACGGTGGCGGCTCTCTCCTCCCCTCTCGTCTCCCTCCTGCCCCAGATCCGACGGCGATTGCGATGTCTGTGCGTCGGCGGGTGAGTCCGTTGGCGGTGGCGGCGGCGGCGGGCCGGCGGCGGCTCCCTCCTCCCCTCTCGCCTCCCTCCTGATCCGGCGTCGGCTCGCTCCTCCCCTCTCGCCTCCCTCCCGCTCCAGATCCGGCGACGATGGATCCGGCGACGGTGGCGGCATCGGCGGCTGCCGCGGATGGATTCGGTGGCTACGGCGACGGCCGAGGGTGGATCCGGTGGTAGGGAGTGAAGTTTTGTGATGTATGTATGTTGGATGATTATTTTTGTAATATTTTGTAATTTTGGGCAAAGATTGGTTGAATTTTGTTTTTTTTTGCGGTGTGTTCATCCGATTTGGTTGTGCCGATTTTGGGATGTGTTCCTTGTATTCGATTCTGAGTGCAATAGGGATTCGGGGGGTTTTGAAGGCGCACCGTGAGGGACGAAGGCGCCTTTCGTCCCACTTGTGACGATAGGAAAAATCCGAATATTTATATTAGTTAGTTATAGATTTGGTTCTCTTGGAGCTGTGAGAAACAAGTGTAGTGCATTCGGCCCGCGAAGGTGAAGAAGGCCTGCTCGGACTCAAAGTTTGTGCAGCACAGTCCTTTTCTCCGGCCCACGTGCATGCGCGCCTGTGTGGCCCACAATTAAGGGGAGCGTGCTACGCGTCGGACGTACGGCGCGAGACGAAAAATCGGACGCCTCGCACGACCGTCGGATCCACGCACGTGCGCGCCAGCCATCCATCATGTATGGATCAAGCGAACTTTAACTATTTTTTTCTCTTAAAATATTTATCCAAATCATGATCCGATTATACCATTAAATCCGTTACAATTGAATCTTTAAAACAAGACCACATATGAATATAATCTGATGAAAAAAAATTAGTTTATTATTGAATTATTTTTAAATGTTGTACGTTGTTGCGCCAAGTATATCGGAATTGTTTCACTAAGTTGATAAAAAATGTTTCACTAAGTATATCGAAATTTGCAAATCTCCGGACGATGTCGCACTGTACGTTAAAAAATGTTGCAATGTTTCATTGCTTGAAAAAATGTTTCAATATGAATTGTTTCTTGATGTTTCATCTTTCACTGAAAAATGTTTCACCGCTTTA